ATCCAGCCTATCTTATTTAGACAGACCTGCGGAGATAATAACATGCACAAAAACAAGATAAAGTAAAACCACACAACAATATACAACAAAACAACAACAAACCAATGACAGAAAAACAAAACACAACAAGTAAGAAAAGCTTGTAGTTAGTTCAAGGACTGTTTGTTGGCCTTTAGGAGTGTTTTCCAATTCAGTCTGTTGGGGCACCACGCCCTAGCCCCAAAGTCTACCTTCAGCATTCCCTGGGGACCTGGCCGCTCAGTTCCCTTGCTGTTCTGTTGCACCCCCTTAGTGTTTAGCCTTGGTGTGGCAGGATCAGATCGGGTGCAGTTCCCACGCTGTGTCTCTGGTGTTGGCCCCTGTAAGGCTATGGGTCAGTGAGGGACATCTTGTCTCATAGTGGGGCCGGCCATGTGGTCCTCTCTGTGGACTGGCTGCTCTAATCGGGAACATCGTCTTCAAGGCCTGGTGGGCCAGTATGTGCTCCACTCTCTCCTCCTCCCACTTCATCTGCACCTGTGTGCTCCGATCAGATATGTCCCTCTCCCGGAGCTGCAGATTCAATCCCATCCTTTGAAATAAATTCTTCTGTGGAGAGGGGCAGGTGTCCACGTAGTAGTTGGGATTGGGGCCGGCCCTTCAGATCTCTCTGCCAGTGAAGGGTTTTAAGGCAGAGGAATGATGTGATCTCATCTTCATGGTTAGACGACCCCTCCGGGCTCCATTGTGTGCAGAGAGGGCAATCACCGTAGGTAAGAATTGGTGGAGCCCCGGTGGTGCTGCCGGAAAGCGCTGGACTGCTAAATCAAAGATCAGTGATTCAAACTCACCTGACCCAATGGCAGTGGGTTTGCAGTTCTGGTGGTAGTGTGAGAAGTCCAATGGGAGGTGATGCTGAAGGGAGAGCTGATGGGAGTTGCTGAGGGATGTAAGTATCATGGGAAATGGAGCCTGTCGCCTAGGTGTTTGCTACAAGGAACACCTGGGCATATAAATAGTGGAATGAGAAATTAATTTGCTCTGTAAACTTTCATCAAAATGAGTGTTCAGAAACACCGTGACCCATAGTCTCATTTGGTTTCTAGACACTAAGAGATTTAATGTTAAAATCTGCAAATGGTAATATTTGTATATTTTGTTAGTTATTTTGAATCTTGACAATCAGAGGACTAGGTTCAACAACTGCATAGCAAGCATAAATTTAAATTTGACTTGATAATATTTGTTATACCCCTTCATGAGAGTTCATGAGAACAAAATGAAATGTTGGCGAGAATACCTCATACATGGTAAAGTCATCTAAGACCTGTCTTGTCTATTTTTGTGGCATTTTCCAGGTACAGTGTGCTCACTGTGCATGAAGAAATTTAGTTGATGAGCAGTCAAAACTCTGTTAAAATTTGTTGGGCCCAGTCTCCCAATGACATTATACCTCAAGTTATGTTACAATGCTCAGTACAAGGGGGGGGGGTGCTCCCACAAGCAAGCATAGGACTGTCTCCCTTCGAATGGTCCTTTCTCCCATTGAATGGTCCTGCTCTCCTTGTTTTGCTGGAACTCAATTTGTTCATCAGACTACAGGGATGTTAAAATGGCTATTTAAACTGAAAAAGTCATTTTAGTTTATGTAAGGCAGTAAATGTTCTTTGTTTACTTGCCATCCCTTATTATTATGCCCTTTAGCGGTTGTTTTTTTGTGTGTGTGCCCACTTGGGGATGCCTATAAAGTTAAGTAGAAATATTTAACTGAGATTTAAATCTTCAATCAAGGAGCATTTCAGCAGCACCATGGTTTTGGATGTGACCAGATTCATGACAGCAAGCCATTTTGATAAACTAAAAACAATGCCTTGTCAAATGACTTGAATAGATATTTCTCCAAAGAAGATACATCAATGACCAACAAGCACATCCCAAGGCACACAACATCCTTCAGCAATGGGGAAAGACACATTAAAACCATAATAAGGGACTACTGCACAACCATTATAATGGCAATTGTAATAAAAGAAAGGCAGCTAAGCATTACCAAAAAGAACATGTATGGTGAGGCAGCGGCGAAATTAGAACCTTCCTGTTTGGATTGAATTGTGTCCCTCAACAGTATGTGTTGCAGTCTGTGTGTGTGTGTGTTGCAGTCTTAAGATCAATGCACGTGGATGCAATCCCCTTAGGGGATAGAGGCTTTATCATGTGGGGTGTGTCTTAAATATGCTTGTGTTCCAGTTATAAAAAAAGCTGAGAAGCAAGCATAAAGAGGGGATGATACAGACCCCATGGAGACTCCTAGTCCACAAGGACCCACAGACACAGAAGTCAGCACCCAGGCATGACAGAGGATGGGCCTTGCCATAGAGTCACTACCCTGAATTTGGACTTCTTGACTTTTGCATAAACTGTGAGAAAATAAAAATCACTTCTTTTTTTAAAAATCATTTTATTGGGGGCTCATACAACTCTTATCACAATCCTTGCATACATCCATTGTGTCAAGCACTTTTGTACATTTGTTTCCCTCATCATTCTCAAAACATTTGCATCTACTTGAGCCCTTGGTATCGGCTCCTCATTTCCGCCCCCCCAACCCTGCTCCCTCCTCCCCCAAAACTCACTTCTTTAAAACCACTACTGGTGGTTTTATATCAGCCCTAAGCAACTAAGACACTTCCCATATTTGCTGGTATTTTAAAGTGGTGCAGCCACATAGCATTTTGGCAGCACCTCAAAAATTTGCACTTGTAATTTATATGATTCAGCAGCTCCACCTCTAGGTTATATGCCCCAAAAAAATTGAGAGCAGGAACTCAAACAGATACCTGTACACCAAAGTTCACTGCAGCGTTATTCAATAGACAATGGAAGAATAAAATGTAGACGTTCAGTGGAATACTTTTTAGCCAGAAAGAGAAATGAAGTTTTGACACATTACTATAACATGGATAAGTCTTGAAAACATTATGCTATGTGAAATAAGCCAAATGAAAGAGAACAAATATTATATGATGACATTTATATCCAGTATCTGGAATAGTCAAATGCACAGAGACAAAAGATTATCAGTAGTTAACGGGTCTTTGGTTAGGGAGAAATGGAGAGTTATTGCTAAATGGGCATAGAGTTTCTCTTTGTTGTTGTTAACTGCCATCCCATAGTTGGTTCAGACCCATAGTGACTTTATACACAACATAATGAAACCCTGCACGGTCTTGCGCCATCCTCATAATTGCTCTTAAGCTTAGCCCATTGTTGCAGCCACTGTGTCAAGTCATCTTGTTGAGGCCTTCTTCCTGGTTGCCCCTCCACGTTACCAAACACGATGCCCTTCTCCAAGGACTGTCTCTCCTTACAACATGCACAAAGTATGTAAGAAGTCTCACCATCCTTGCCTCTAAGGAGCACTTTAGTGGTACTTCTTCCGAGATAGATTGGTACTTTCAATATTCTCCAGCATCCAACAATTCAAATGCACCAAACCGTCTTCAGTCTTCTTCACTCAATGCCCAACTCTCAATGCCTATGAGGCAGCTGGAAATGCCATGGCTTGGGTCAGGCCCACCGTAGTCCTCAAAGTAACATTCTGGCTTTTCAATCCTCTAAAGAGGTCTTGTGCAGCAGACTTACCTAATGCCACTGGTCTTTGGACCTCTTGACTGCTACTGAAGAGGATTTTGTGTTGCACAGATCCACAATCAAGATAGTAGAAGCAACAGTCAAGAGTTTCTGTTTGGGTTGATGAAATTGTTTGGAAATAGGTGGAGATAATGGTTGCATAAAGTAGGAATATAATTGTCAATGAATTGTACTCAAGACTGAGTTATATATACACATATATGTGCATAAATATATATATGCATTTATACCAAAACACACACACACACACAAATCCCCCAAGGAAAGAAGAAAACTCTTGCCTTGTTATAAACGTAGAGAATAAAATGCATGTCCTTAGTAAGTATTGAGGCAAGTATCCACAGCCTCTTTCTTATTTCCTTTCACATGCCAGGGAATATTTCAGTATTGTCCAAACAAAAACCAAAAATCAAACACTGCTATCAAATCGATTCCAGCTCTTACTGATCCTAGAGACCAGAGTTGATTGGCCCTGGGGGTTTTCCCAGGCTATAAATCTTTATGGAGCAGAAAACCTCATCTTCCTCCTAAAGAGCAGCTGGTAGGTTTAAACTGCTGACCTTGCAGTTGGTCTTCTTTCCCTTCCTCCAATTTTGGGCTTTCTTGTTGGATCAGTGTAAAGAGTGAGTTGCCGGGTGGAGAAGAACAGGAGGAGGAGGAGGAAGGTGCCAAATAATGGCAATATTTACACAGAAAAGAAAGCTAGCAAACAGGGAAGAGAATAGCTTGGATCCCAGGGAAGAAAGGATGAGAATGCATGTGTTGCTGGGAGGATACTAGCGGTCTCCTTGAGGAATAGCTACTGTCTGTGGGAGAGACGATGAAGGAGAGGAGATAGGAAAAGGCTACTTTATAGGTTTTGCTGTACATTAAGAATGTATCCATCCTCCCACACACCACACACACCCAGGGACTTTCTGAAGTGGAGATTTGAATTGTTTTCAATATTTTATCAGACTATTTCTCTTCAATTTTATATCAGGCTAAGAATGAACCACAAGGGACTTGATTTCATTTTCTGTTGGGCTGGGTTAACCAGAGAAACAAATTCAGAGACACTCATATATATAAGAGAAGGAGCTTTATATCAAGAAGTAATTATATATCAAGCCAACATCCCAGCCCAGTCCAGATCAAGTCCATAAGTCTGATACTAGTCCATAAGTCCCTCTTCAGACTCACGCAGCCACATGCAATGATGCAAAGTGCAGGAAGGTCACAGGCCGGTGGGTGCAAAGTCTTGTGGGGCCAATGGCAGTGGATGCATCTCCAGGGTGCTGGTAGGTCTCACACACATGGCACACCAACAGGAAGGTGAAGCAGAGAGAGAGTGGAAGTTCCCAGGATCCTCCTTGTGAGAAGGCCACAGCCGCCAGCAGGTACCATCAGACTGTGACCTATTGACTCTACTCCTTCACTTGGACATCTTCAAGTAACATCATGTAACCACCACATTCCAATTACCACAGCGCTTAAGAACCAAAGAGACAGCCTAAGTTAGAGACTCTTCTAATTAGGATTAATAATGGAAGATTCAATAAAACCCAGGGGAAAAATGACAAGGGAAGGTGCACATTTTATGGCACTCTTGGCATGTAAGTCTTTATATTTATTTTCCCCTTTAAGAAACACTGCTTATTGTGAAAGTGTAGATCATAATTTTGCATTCACCAATTCTTACACATTCTGATTCAACTCCTCACTGCAACCCCCAACAGTGTGCCATTTTCTCTCCCACTTCCTCACTGTGTTTCCCGTTTTCATTCCCCCTTCCTTAACCCTCGGAACTTTGTAGTTGGAAAAGACTGCCCTTTTGGGAAAATGCATAATTGAGATTTATTTGTTGTGAAGTTTAGGAAAAACGCTACTCTAAGATCTCCTGGAAATCAAACTTGCTCTTCTTGCCACAAGCATGTTGCTTGTGGGTCAGCAAAAAAAAGGAAACGACCTTCAACGAGATATATTCGTTAGGGTCAAACCAAATGTTGAGGGCCCGCCTCCTTGCATGA